TTCTCTAACCATTTGACAGAAATGATTTATATTATATACACCGACAAGGTTATCCATTCTTGGCGTTGGAGGAGTGGCCATTTCTATTTGATTAGGCAATATTTTTCTGAGTGAAATAATTCTCCGATTTTTTTTTAAGTCTGGAAATACTTTCTTCATATAAAGTAATTCGATATTCGATTGTGCAAGTTGCGGTGGTACCACTTACGAATGCCGGATCCGGCAAATTGTCTTCCATTATTATAGTTGATCAAAAAATGGCAGCGGTACCGCCAAGTAACGTTCCCATTATTTCTATTGATCCCAAAATAGCACGTAGACTTGACATTGCTATTGAGCTTAGAAAATTGTATTATAGGCCTCAGGGTTATTATCGTACTGCTGAAAAATTGCGTGATGCGTGCAGAAAAGCCGGAAATAACTTTTCATTGGCTGATGTGAGAGAATGGTTAGATAAACAGGCATTGCACCAAATACATAAAACCCGCCCGAAATTTATTCAGTATGCATCTTTTAATGGTATACAAGACTTAAATGAAATGCATCAATCCGATCTTACTCCTATGCCTCATGATAAAATCGGAAATCGAGTTTTTAAACATAGACTTGTAATAAAAGATGTTGCTACTAGATATCGAAAAAGCTGTGCATTAACTAATAAATCTGCTTCTATTGTTGCAAAAGCGATTAAAAAAATTTATGTGAATCCTAATAATCCTCTTTCTTGGCCTAATGTTTTTAGAACTGATAAAGGTACTGAGTATTTAGCTGAGTGTAAAGATTTATTATTAAGACACGGTGTATATTTTAATCCTAAAAAATCCAAGGAAGGTAATGCTATAGCAGAGCGCGATCATCAAGAATTTGAGAAACATGCTTTCATTCGTCAAGATGCTGTTGATTTTCATTTACCATTAACTAAGAGGTGTAGAGATTGGGTCAAAGGTCTTAAAACAAATGACGATATATTTAATAATACTCCAACCCGTTTAATTGGTATGTCTCCCAATGAGGCAGTAAAACTTGCATTGAAAGGTAAACAAATTGTAGCAAAACCTGCTGTCAAGCATAGAAGACCAATTGGTTATGATGAAATCCGTTTAACTTACAATGATTTAGTTAGATATTTACTTGATGCTGGTGAGCTAGAGGGTGGAAGCCGATGTGCGACCGATGCTAACTGGTCTCCGCAAATTTACCATATCAAGAAATCGCTCATACAAAATAATCAGCCGGTATTATACTGGCTTATGGATGAAAATGGTGATGGACCCGAAAGATCATTCGTGAAAGAACAACTAATGATAATACCGCATGACACTGAATTGCCACCCGATTGGGTGCTTAAGAATTAATCCAAAATATTCTTGTTAGAACTCATTTTAAATATTTAGTATAATTTGTTTATGTAATGATATATTACGTTATAAACTCTTTGTTTAAATAATTATTTTCACACATCAAAATGACTATGGTTGGTGAATATACTTGTCCGTTTTATCATAACTCTGGTAAAGTCTGCGGTAAAAGCTGTATGCGATCTGAAGGTTGCCATAATCATTGGAAGGCTAAAAGGCGAGTTCCCTGCACTGACTGTGGTAAACCAACTGGTTCGATTTCTGGCCGTTGCCCGTTACACGTTAGAGGGTATTATGTGTCCCAGTACTATCACAGGTTGCGCCTTAGCCGTCTTGCAAATGGTAATTTTTCGGTAAACCAATAATTTTTATTAGACTTATCTGTGCTTTACGCTGCCGTACGGCCTTCACGTGTGTCCCTGTTAACTAATTCAGCGAAATTTTTATTAACCTTATCTTGCTAGCCTGCGCTATCGCGCGCCTTTGCTAGCTAACTCGGTTAAAATTTTTATTAGATTTGTAATTTTTTAACGATTTAGCACCTAATGTGACGAAATATTTTATTAGGTTTATGAATTTTTTGTGGTAGCACTACGATTTAGCACCTAATTAAACCATACAGCAGCGAAGTTTTTATTAGGTTTATGAATTTTTTACAATTTAGCTTCTAATTTGATAGAATTTTTTATCCAGTTTACGTTTGTTTTAGGCCAAGTAGGTCTAATAATTTTTAAACTTGTCTTGCTAGCCTGTGCAATTGCGCGGAGCGCGCGCTCCGCGCGCGGTATTACTAACTAACTCGGATAAAAAAGTCTAAGAAAAAAACTGTGCCAGAAACCCTATTTGTACACTACTAAATGGCATTTAAAGATGTTTCCTCTAATTCTAATGCTTCTTCCAAGACTTTTTGTTCTGCTTCTAATCGCTTAGCGGAATCCATTTCGCCCATTTCGAGATGCCACAAACGGTAACGATAATTTTCGAATTCCACTTTCTGCTATTATGACAACAAAAATAATTCGTAAATTCGGCCAACGCTAAGCACGCTGTAGCAGTGCTTCTGGCGAGCTTACGAGGCGATAGTTTTTTTTAATTAGCACTGGTTGCGGTTTTTCGAGCAATTTATTCTTCTCTTTCTCTAAATTAGTTGTTAAAGATTGTAAACCTTTAACTTCTTTATCAGCTTTTATTCATCAAGATAATAATAATAATAATGCATTTGGATGCATGTAATAGTAAATATAATAAAACAAACTTTCTCTAAATTTTTTGTCTTTAATGCATAAGGACGAAGTCAAAAGTAATCTTTAATATTAACTGCTCTTTTTTATTTCCTCTTTGGTTAAAATATTGTTTTGGTTTGTCATGATTTTAATTCTTATATTATATTTAATATTAAAAAACTAAATCATAGAAAATTTAATAGAACAAACAAAAACTAATAATAATAATAAAGTAATAAAATGTGCGGCTGACTGAAATATTTTTATTCATTATCAGTATTAGTATAGATTGATTTGGGACAAGTAATATCCTTGAATTCATCTCTAACGTATTAGTATGGGCAAATATTATGATAAAATATTCTTGTCTTTTGTAATTCAAAGGAGGCGGAGTTAGAACTAAAATAAAAAAAATTTTAATTTTTTTGGTAATTTCAGAAACACTTGCTTTTCTATTTCTGGTTTTCAATAAATTAAATTCAGTATAGAACCATTAGCAACCAGCTGAGCTTTGACAATACCAGGTTTGGCTGCTTCGAATACAAAATGCTGATGTTCTGTAAACCACTCAATTTCTTAAAGAAAATTCCCAATACGGAATTAAGATCTTAGTATTGAAAACCTTTTCCTATGTCATAACACTGAGCTTTGTTTAATCTTACTATACTCGATTTTTCCACAACCTCAACAATATGATTCACACAATCTACGGCGTTTTTCGATAAAGCTTTCCGAAATACCATCACACTTGAATTTACGTGTAGTATGTCCCGGCACCATAAATTTAATTCGATACTTTTATATAACCGCAATTACGAAATACAGTACCGATAAATCAAATAGTGGCATTATTTTTATTCTGACCACCTGCATTGTCACAAGTAATCTTTAAATATTTCTCACCTTTATTCAATCGTTAAATACCAGGCTTACCATTAGCCTTTACCGATAATTTCGTTTTATCAAAAACGTAATTAATTTGTTCGCGTACTGCTTCATCTTGGATACCAAATAAATGCACTTTATGTGGACTGAGATAATAAATCTTACTTACTTGTTGATCGGAATGAGAAACGTAAACATTTTGCGCTCAATCATAACTGTGATGAGCAGTAGCGTCAATGCTACAATAATCAGCTTTACCTCATGCTCATTTACTAATTTTCTCTGTTGTTCTGCTAATTTCGTATTTTTGTGGTAATAGTTTTTCTCTAATTTGGCCTTAACTAAATGTTCTTTGAATTTTTTAAGTAAACCCCTCGCTTCAGTGGCTGGATGAACTAAAAATTTAATAAGCGAGTCTACTGTATATTAGTTTTTTCATATGAGTTG